AGGGCTTTGATAAGACCAAGCTTTCATCTTCATGGAGTTTATTGTTGAATAAGGAAAGAGCTACTGAGAGACTCTTAAGACTAGCATGCAGGAAACTATAAAGAGCTACAGGTCTCCTTAAGAGTACACACCAGGATCGATTTGTCCAACTAAGTCACTTAGAATAGGGGGTTAGCCTAAATAATCACTTGTCCATTTATGTTGGGAGAAATGGCCTGTGTGTGTGTGATGATTTAGTCTTCTCTTCAGGTCAAGTGCCCTTTTACATCTATGATCAAATAACATTAAAAAACTCCCAGGATGGAAGGATAGACAATCAAATAGTAGAATCTGAGACTCAAAGTGTGACTTTGGGCAAGTCACAGAAGGTTTGCTATTTTGGTCAACCAAGAGCTTTCTGTCCCTGATCTAGAGGAATATCTTTCTCCCAGTGACAAACATTAAGTGACTCAAAACACTGAAACCAGAAACATGTGGAAACATTATCCTCCTCATTAACATCCTTATTGAGGGACTCCCTGGTGGTGCAAGGGGTTAAGACGCAATCTATGAAGTTATCCACAGCCACTGCAGCACGAGTTCAATCCCCAGCCAGGGAGCTACCCACGTGGTGCAGGACACCTCTCCTGGCTCTCCGGCTGCTCCCCTCAGCAGTGTATTTCAGTCAGTCTGCCTGCTCTGTTCCCCACTGTCTCTGGTGAATCCTCTCACCCCTCACACCTCTGGCCTGTACCCCAGTTCTTGTATGCATATATAAATAAATCTTTTTAAAAAATCCTTATTGAGATCTCATATTAAAGAGATATTGGAGAGGATAAGAGGTGGTTATATATTTGTGGGTGTTTAAAAAGATCTGTTTTTAGGGCCTCCCTGGTGGCGCAAGGGGTTAAGACGCAGCACTATGAAGCTATCAGCAGCCATTGCAGCACAAGTTCCATCCCTGACTAGAGAGCTACCCACATGGTGCAGCAGACCTCTCCTGACTCACCTCTGCTCCCCTCAGCAGTGCATTTCACTTGATCTGCCTGTTCTCTTCCCACTCTGTCTCTGGTGAATCCTCTCACCCCCCACACCTCTTGCCTGTACCCCAGCTCTTGTATGCATAAATAAATAAATCTTTTAAAAAAAAGATCTGTTTTTAGAAAGAAGCTAGAGTATTTTCTGTGATTTCCAGGCCTAGCTACCAACTGGCAACACTTTGATGTGTTCTGAGCTGAGGATTCTAATACTGGGACATGGTTTGTCCAGGAGAAATGCACCTGTAATTAGAAAGACTAGGCTCACCTGGTACCCAGACTGATATTTCCAAGTGCCATTATCTTCTAGATCTTATTTTACTTTCATTGAAAATTCTGGGTTCCAATTCAACCCTGTGAGACTACTGGTAGAACAAGAGGCAACAAAAGAGAATAAAAATGCAAAAGCACAAACGGAAGCCGGAGGGGAGCATTCTGTGCAGTAGCTGCTTTGCCTCCAGACTACAAGCTAGTGTGAAACCCTGCACTAGAGAGAATGGAAGATGAGCCAGACTCAGATCACACCAACAAACATGTTATAGCCAGAGGATGTTTCACCCTGGTCAAATATCAGATGAATTAGGGGCCACCGCCAGCAGCTGTGATGAAGGTCAGTGGGATGCCGTCTGACTGCCCAGTGAGGGGTGTTGGCTCCTAAGGGAAGGTCAGCTGCATTTCCAGATTTCCAGTGGTTCAACTGCAGGGTTTGGCTAGAGGCACCCACAGACACACAGGTGCTGGGAAATGTCTCTTCCTTGCAGTGTGCACCGGACAGGCCAACTCCATACTGTCAGATGAACTGTAGCATAGACAGCCTGCATCAGAGGGGAAAGACAGAAAATCTGGGCTGGCGGGCTCTGGGGGGCAGAAGCACAAGCCTATGTATGTTAGGGTACATTTTGAAAACTCCTCCCTTTGAAAGAGAGAACTGTCCTGGCTGAGAGAGAGAGAGAGAGAGAGAGAGAGGGAGAGAGAGAGAGAGAGTGCGCGCACACTAGCCCAACTGTATTTCTGGGAGGGAGTCTATATGTGCTTCAAGGTCATGACAGGGCAACAGGTGGGATTAGGGTTCCTTGAATCTCTTAAACCAGAAATGCTTTACTTCCACTCTTTCACATATCAAACCTCAATGTCAGATGTTGATTATCATTCCATTGCTCTGAACAAATCAACAGTGAAATTTAAGACCACTATCTCAGAGCATCTCATTTCCATGGGCACATGGATCACCTGGAGATTTTACTGGTGCAGATTCTAAGTCGGCAAGACTGTGGAGGGGCTGCAAGTCTGCCTTTCTAACAAGCTCCTAGTGATGCCCAGGTGGCTGGTCTATGGCCACACTAGGTGCTAGATTAGCTTTATGGGTGAACATCTCATAGTACCCACGTCACTCATGGGCTCTCACTACACTGTCCACTCCTGTATTTGTTTTTAAGCTTTGGGTATATGTTACCTTTGTTTCTTTTTGGACAACTTTATTGAGATTTAGTCTACATAGCATACAATTCACTCTTTTAAGTGTACAATTTAGTGGGTTTAGTATATTCACAGAACTGTGCAGTCATCACCACTACCTAATGTTAGAACATTTTCATCACCCCTTTGAAACTTGTGATAGTTAATTTTATATGTCAAATGGATTGGGCTATCGGGCATCCAAATATTGATCAATCATTATTCTGGGTGATTCTGTGAGGATGCTTTTGGATGACATTAACATTTCAATTAGTAGACTAACTGAAGCAGACTGCCTCTCCTAATGTGAGTGAGCTTCGTCTGCTCGGTCTAAGGGCTTAAACTGAAATATCAACTCTTGTGTCCCAACTCCACCAAGCCCCAGACTGAAACTATACCATCAGCTTTCCTGGGGCTTCAGCTTATTGAGTCACACTGTAGCTCCTGGGACTTGTTGGCTTCCATAACCACATGAGACAATTCCTTTTATATATGTATTAACTATGAATCTACTTCTATTTCATTTAATTAAATGAAATAAGTGTGGTCTTTTGTGAATGTCTTCTTTTACTTAGCATGATGTTTTCAAAGGTCATCCATGTTGTAGAATGGTCATATATTACCCACACTTTGTAATCTTTTCCAATCTAGCTGTAGATCTCACCAGTGGTCCAGGAAGAGGGACAGACATGGCCAACTACTATATCTTCATCACCAAAAACAGTGCCTGAGACTTATTAAGTGCTCAATCAATGTATAAAAGATAATGCCTGCTGAACGAAAGTACCAGGGAGCAATTTCAAGGGATATAGACAGGGAGAGGTAACCCAAAGTTTTCTGCATATATTTAGGGAGGTGACTGAGGTTACTTTAACAACTGTAGAGTTGCTATCAAGTTAGGGGTAAGAAGCATGACTAAGCGGCTTTCCAGTGGACACGTAAACTCAGCTGTCAACTAATCCTTTACCTGGGATAGGTTTTCAGAGCAACTGATTTAAACTGCAAAGCTGTTACAAGAAGGTAAAGTTAATTTATGCATTTCAAGTTAATTTATGCATTGATTATGGGAGTCTATTTTAGCTTCAGGAACTGTCATGACAGTCTTAAGAATTGTGGATGAATAACATAAAAATAATTCTGAAGAACAAGCTCATTTTGTTATGAATTTAATTATATTCAGTAACCATCGAGTGAACACCTACTGTATAGACCAGCAGTTAGTAAAGTGGTTGACTCCACTCTGGAGCAAGTGTATCACAGATACTAACATATGAGGGTCCTTCAGCAAAAATTGCATTTTTAATCCATCTACCATCCTACAACCTTTCTTGTGAAACAGAGCTTCCAATCAACATTTCAGTGCTAAATTTTACTCACAATGGAGACAGCCAAAGATCTTTAAACATTTTGGGAAATACTCCTAAATGAAAAAGAAAGGGTAGAGTGTTCCCAGAATAATTATGAGGGTGGTAGAATAAAGTTTCAAAATAACAAATACAACCTGAGAGAGAAGAGAAAACAATATTTAGGTAACTAATAAAAAGCCATAGTTAGCACATAAAAAAGAGATGTTAGCAATTGAAAATATGCTACCAGAAATTTAAAACTGTAATGGAATTAAAAGATAAAGTTAAGGAAATCTCACAGAAACTAAAATAAATCAAGGATGAAAAGGTGAACAAATACATGGAAGATGGAAAAGAAAATATGAGAACATTGGAAGAACAATCCAAGAATGTGACATTCCATTATTAGAAGATAGAGACAGAAAATTGGGAAAATACAGAGGAATTATCAAGAAAAAAAAACCCTGCAAAACCAAAGGAAATAGACAAACATCACATTTATTTTTAGTTAAATTGTTGTCTACAGAGAACAGGATGTATGAGCAAAAATCAGTGCACATGCCTGACATGAAGTTGCTCAACAAACACTGCAAATAATTTTCTGGAAGCCTGTCAACTGTCTTTTAACTTTATTTTTAATGTATTGCCATATTGAAGTTAGCTTTTAGCATTAAAATCTCCTTTGTCAGTCAACCCAGAATCATATATAGCCATTTATATGTTGGTTTAGTGGTTTAATCATTTTCAAAATAAAAACATACTTGAATTAAAATAGAAAAGCCAATGGTGTTTTTAAAACTGGAAAACCGAAGGGCCTCCCCGGTGGCACAGCAGTTGAGCGCTGGGCTGCGAAGCTGCCCGCAGCCTCTGCAGCGCTGGTTCTATCCCTGGCCACCAGCGAGGGGCCCACATGGTGCGCAGACCTCTCCTGCCGCGCCCGCTGCTTTCTTAACCAGTGTACTTCATCAGTCTGCCTGTTCTGCTCCCTGCTCTGGCTCTGGTGAATTCTCTCATGCTCCTGCGCTTTTGACTGTACCCAGTGCTTGTATAAATAAATAAATCTTTAAAAAAAAATGAACAATGATGTAAAAAATAATTAAAAATAATATCTAACACAATCTAGACAAACAAAAAAAAAATGGTAACAAAATTTGGTTCAGTTTTTAAAGTCACAATCTATTACCTCTGACTCTGGAAATGTTGGAAGCTTCCTTTACTTCCTTGTATACTGGCTTCCTCATCTGCAACATGGTGACAGAGTTCTTACTCCTTCTGACTTGGGCCCCTGCATCTGGTGGCTGCAGTGAATGTTGACTCAGACATGGCTACACTGTAATGAAGGCCACAGGAAAAAGAATGACTATAAGTTTTTGAAGATAGCAAAAGTCATCTTTAAAGACTGAAATACAGTGTTCTGTTGGAAATGTCTGGAGATAATAGAGAATACAATTGTTTGCTGACTCATAAACAAAAACTAGAAAATGGAGAATTGAGGTTACTTATGTAAAAGTGTGCAATGGCTCACTTTTTCAATCATTTATTTTCTCAAGAATACTCTAATAATATTTGTGTTCATTAACAAAACAAAAGGAAGTCAGTCATTACATAGTTACTTTTGGAATCACATTTGGAAGGTATGGTGAGTTGAATTGCGTCCTTCGAAAATTCATTATTAAAATTCAAAATACATTGAACTTCTAATCCCCAATACTTCACAATGTGGTTGTATTTAGAGACAAGGTTTTTAAAGATGTTATGAAATTAAAGTGAGATCACTAGAATGGGCCCTAATCCAATGACTAAGGTCCTTACACGAGGAGGGTATCTGGACACAGAAATGTTTAAGGGGAGGATCACAAAGACATAAGGAGAACTTGACCATCGGATCCACCTGGAAAAGAATGAACTTGGGCTCTGTCTTATACCACAAACAAAATTAATTCAAAGTAAATTAAAAACTTAAACACAAAAGACCTAAGACTCTAAAATCCTAGAAATAAATACAGGGAAAAACTTCAGGATATTTGTTTTGACAATGATTTCCTGGCCATGATATCAAAAGCACAAATAATGAAAACAAAACAAAACAAAACAAAAAAAAAAATTAATGATATCAAATTTAAAAAACTATTACACAGAACAGGAAACAATCAAAGTGAAGAATCAATCTATGGAAAGGGGGAAAATAATTGTTATCTATGTGATAAGGGTTAGTTTTCAAAATATATATACAGCTTAATAACAAAAACAATTAACCCAACTAAATAACCAGTGTCAAACTTGAGTAGACATTTTCCCAAAAACAAAAATAGCAGTAAGTTTATGAAAAGATGCTCAACATCATTAATTATTAAGGAAATGCAAATCAAAACCACAATTAGCAATCACGTTACAGCTGTTAGGATGACTTTTATGAAAAAAGCAAAAGATAACAAATGTTATAAAGATGTGCAGAAATTTAAACTCTTCTACACCACTTATGGGACTATAAAATGAGATCACCATGATGGATAATTATATGAAGGTTTCTTTAAAAATTACACATAGAACTACCATATGATCCAACAACCCTGTTTCAGGATATATATCCAAAAGAATTGAAATCAGGATTCCAAAGATATTTTTATTTCCATGTTTAATGCAGCAATATTCAGACCTGTCGGAAACAACCTAAATGTCCACTGATAAATGGATAAAGAAAATGTGGTTGCTACATCCAATGGATTGTCAGTAGGTTCCCAAAAAGTAGGAAGTCCACACACAAAATCATGGATGAATCTGAAGGATACTAGGCCAAGTAAAGTAAGTCAGTCACAGACAGACTTATAGAAACTTAGGAAGTTTTACTTCATAGAAAGAGAGAGTAGAGTAGTGATTGCCAAGGACTCGGGAGACAGAGGAATAGAGAGAGAGTTGCTGTTCAAGAGGGATATACATTTTTCAGTTTTCAGAAACAAATACTTCAGTTATTGATGATGAACAAGTTCATCTAGAGATCTGCTGTGGAACACTGTGCCTATAGTTAATACTACTGTAAATTATGCACTTAAAATTTTGACAAGAAAGTAAAACCCTTGTTGTGTTCTTATCACAATTCAAAAAATTAAGTACATAGATAGGTAGATCAATCGATCAAAGAAAACGGACATCACTAAGGCAAGAAGAGAGAGCTTGGAAAACAGACTCTTCTAACACCTGGCACTCAGACACAAAGCCTGCAGAACTGTGAGAAAGTAACTGTGTGCTGTGAAGCTGACCAGTGCATGGTGTGCTGTGTAGCAGGCCTGGCAAGTTAATACAGAAGGGTCTTCCTGTTGTTAGTCTCTTTTGTTAAGGGAATAATTTTATCAAGCTGAAACTGCATAACCAGAGCAGTGATATCCACCTGTTTTACAGAATTAGGAAAATTGTTCTTTATTGAGAACTTGATTCACACCTTGATATGGAGTTTATGAGCTCAGGATGTGTAATTTCTCATTAGCTGGAGGTGAAGAACACAGAACACATTTACCCAGTTGATAATGTTTTCTATACTTACATGTCCTGGGTAAACACACTCATGGGCTTGGTTGATATTCTTAAATCATCAACTGTGTGTGCCCTATGAATAAATAAGTGACAAGTGGTGAGGCGACAGTGGCACAAGTTAGAAATAGGCTGTCTAGGCCTTGGGGGTAACAGAGGAACAAAGGTGTGAGGTTTTGAGAAGTCAAACCATGGTAGTGACAGTAACCACTCAGTGGCCAAGCGCCTGAGAAATCTTTCACATCAACCAAGTTTAACTCCTTGAAAATTTGTAAAGTTGAAACAAATTGTAAATCATGGGCCAGAGAAGACTGTAAAAGGGATCCTCAATCTAACGCACTTTTGAATACCTGGGTATCTTGTTAAAAATGCATGTTCTGATTCAGGCAGGTCTGGGGTCTGTGTTTCCAACAAGCTCCCAGGTAATGCCAAAGTTGCTGGTTTGGTGACAATACTTTGAATAGGACTTGCCACCCCCAGAGAACAAGAGAGGAAAGAAAGTTGACCATAGAAGCATTTAAAGAAAATTCACAGCCACCCAGCTTCCATTTGAAATGAAAGAAATACAAGTTAAAACCACCAACTGGTATGTTCTGCTTAGCCATTGACAAAGTCTTTAAGATTTGATGATATATGGGAGGAGAGAGCATAGGGTTATCTTATGTATTGAGGGTTGAAATACTAATAAAAATAACTTTAACTTTGGCCCCCATCTATTAAATTGAAAAGCACACAGATTTGGGCCAAGTATTTCCACTTCTGCACAAGTATCCTTGGATGTACTCACATTTGTGCAAAAACATAATTATAATTTTTTGTAAAAGGGGTATCATTGTGAGTAGAATCATATGCTGAACATGTCCAAAATATCTCTGGAAATCTACCACAAAGGAAACACTAAAGTAACCTATGACAACGCAGTGTCCAGGGTTGGGAGATTTACTTCTCACTTTTGTAGTTACTGGATGATTCTTTTTTCCTCCCACATTTATGAATTAAGGGTTTAAGGTTTAGTTTAAAACTAGTGGGGTGGGAGAGATAATTTGGAAGACTCTCTGAAGGTCCCATGGTGGGATATCCATCATAGTCTTTTCATAACACTGTCTATTAGCTTCTGGCATTCCTCGCTGCTATGCCCATCTTTTAGCTCCTCAGGTCACCCAGAAGTTTGTGCTTCTGGGGTACTTTTGTGTTTCCAGAGAAAGAGATTCAATTAGGTCCTTTTAAGACAAGGGGAGATTTATTGTACACAAATGTGGAGTGAAACTACAACTGGAACATCTTCAAGTCCTAGAGTTATCCAAGAAAGCATCCTCACTGTGTTTGTGAACGTCTGTGCTTCTGTCTCTCATTCTGTTAGTACATTCTCTCCTCCCCACGTGCAAGCATCCTCACCCTGAACTCTGTATAATGGTTCTTGAGCTCTGCCATTTACAATTATGTGCTACTCAGAATTCTTAGTTTCTGATTCTAATTTTGAAATCTTCTAGTGTTGCTTAGTCCTGCTTCTGAGAGATGGACTATGACAGAACCAACTTGACTGTGTTAAGACTCACTGGCTGTCTTCATGAGGGGTTGCTCTCCCTTTCTCTTGCATGGAGGGGTGCACAAGGCAGCATGCTTCCTTCATGTGCTCCAGGGCCTACCACTTCATGTGGAAAGGGTCTTAAATGGAGTAGACACCATGGCTGGCATTTCTAATCACGATCCTTTCTCTAAACCCACTTCTTATTTTTGGAGATCCAAGCTTAATGCCTAAGGATAGGCAAGATTTGCTTACTAGCAATCTTTCAGTCTTCTGTGGTCTGTCACTTCTTATCTTTCTATTCATGAAACTGACCATTTGCCCCCAAATTGCTCTATCAACAGCCCTCCTGGTCTGCCCCTGTGTCTGCCTAGTCTGTTATTGGAAGCATTCAAGAATTAAATAACCATTCTGAGGGCCTGTCTTTCAAAAACCTCAGGGTCTTTGGCCATCTTAGGTGGGTTTGCTGGGATGGGCTTCATCTTCAGAGCCCATTCCATTCAGAGACCACAGATAGAATGAGAAGGGTATCATTTTTCCTTTACTAAGAGATTTACAAATACAGACAGATCACACCCCAGGGGCTGAGAAACAGCACTCCTGTGAATTCCTGAGAGAAAAACAAATTGTTGGGTTTTTTTTTTTTTTTCAGCTGCGGTTCTTTATAACTGACTAGCTTAGCAAAGTACAGACACTAAGGAAATAGAATTTTACAGCTAGATGTTTTTTAGTATTGCATTATTTCAATACTCCCCTGTAAATAATTTACAGGGTTATTCCCCCACCTCCTCCTCTAATACTTCATTTAGGATATATATATATTCCTTAGTCCAAAGTGACCGTAAACCTTAAACTTTTGGCATAATTCTTTCCGATTTATCACCCCTGACCTGATTCTCTGCATATAATAGGAATGGAGGTCCAACAATTGGCAGAATTCAGTGCTCAGAGCAACATCTTTAGCTTCCCCATTATCTATAAAAAAAAATAAACAAAAACAAAACAAGCTTGGAGAAAAGAAATGTTTGATCTCTATCCTAATGCTGTTGGCATCTCTGCCATCATGCCCACAGCACCTGTCCAATGCTCTCAAAAAATTAGGGATTCTCAATGGATGAAGTTTTGGCTCCTTCCAGGACTACCTGAGGGAGGCTCTTGCCTGAGTGATCTGTGTTCCTGCTAATCACATTTCTTCTGGCCCTAATGTTACCCACCCTTCCTCCTTTCCTTGGTGCTTTTGAAAATTACCTTTCAAATAAAATATTGGTGTTTAGGTAGGTGGTAGCACAAGATGCAGCATAGGATCCAATTAGTTTTTAACCAAAGGTAGGAGAGGGTTCAGCTGAGGTTTGAAATATCAGAGGCAAGTTGTATCCTTGTGCCTCCTGGCAGGAAAAGGGGATTTCAGAATAGGGTGCTAACAGTCAGTTGGACTAAATGCCAGAAAACCAAACAAACAAACAAATAAACAAAAAACAAAACAGAGGAGATGGCTTCTTGCAATGAAGAATATTTTTGGGGAAAAGTCTATACTCAAAGAAAAAGGCAAATATACCATACTTTTTCTAACTTTTAATATCTTTGAGAACCATTTCTTAGCCAAAATACTGACTGCAAAGAGAAATACTGGCTTAGAATAACGTCACCTCTCCTTTCTGTCCAACATTCTAAACATGGAGAAATCTAGATGCGAGTGTTCTTTTTTGTCAGCGCACAAAAATGTCATGTCTGAAACCACTGTCCAAAATAATGCCCAAGAGCTCTAGAGTTAAACAAACAGTAATGACTGAAGATTTTAATGAAGCCTGAGCAAAACAGAATTTAGTCTATATATCTGAGAATTGGTATATTGCTAGATTTTTCCAAATGTCTAAGAAGGAGTCAGATTTTAAAAATCATAGCAATAGCATTTAAAAATTTCATTAGTCCTTTCCTGTTCTCTCTCTCCAGCCATTAATCTTTATCTATTTTTTAGCACTACTGCTGTCATTCTTGTTTTTAATGTTTCCTGATGCTGGTAGCTAGTTGCCTTTTTCTCTTAATTTCCCTGAAGAGAGATATAGATCAATGGAAAGATATAAAGACATCAAAACAAAAGCCAGAAAACCATGTTGGATTTGGAAAGAGAGTATCAACTGGAACAAAGGAGGTGCTGGGAACACAGTGGGGTCTTCCAAAGGAAAATCAATAATGATGACAGAGTCTGATCTGGCTGGGATTTTGTTAATGAACTATTCCCCTTCCCACAGCCTTCGGAAGAAGATAAATTGGAAGCAATAGTTCACAGAATCTACTCCATACTAACTGTTTCACCTCATTTAACATTTGAAAGGAAGGGACCGGCATTTACATGGAGGGGAAACTTCTGGAGCCCCACCGCATTGGACTTTCAGAGTGCTTGGATCTAATGAACTCTTTAAAACTTAAGTTTCACGGAATTTGGCCTACTATTCTCATTTCATTTAAGTTGCAGATTCAAGGACACACAAAGAAAGAGTTCCAAGGTGCTGTCTGGGTGGGTGTAATGCCCATGTTTTATGCTAAAGGTATCACTAATTTAATCCATTTGGGTGGGCGGTGGTAGTCGAGAAATAAGCATTAGTGGTTGGAGAGAAGCAGAATGAAAGACCGTATACTTAGCCTTGGTTTAGGAAGACTGGATTTAAGAGTCATCTTGCTAGTTAAGTGCTTTCATTTAACGTGAAATCATTTAACAACTGGAGTGTACCCTAAAATATTTTAAAATTTATTTCTAGTTTCTTTATTCCAGAACACACCTATCCCTGAGCCCCAAGGCATGCATGGAACGAAGCTGCAGATTTATTGTATGAGAAGAAAATGGTTAGAGATAGTTAACTTACTTTTGACTCACAACTTTGCATGCCAGCAAATGGCACTGAACATTTAACATGAGATTCCATGATGACAATGATGTTTCTCCTTTCATAGAGTTTAGTCTGTTTGTTAGTTTCGGGATAGCTTTTAAAAATCTCTTTTCTTTTTTCCATCTCCTACACACAGCTACTACCACAATTGTTTTTTCTCACCAAATATGCCCTCAAGTGAACCCCACACACAAGTGTGAAAATGACTTGGTCTGAACAGCCACTTACACAGCAGGTGAATTCCATCATGGCTGGATGGGAGATTTTGTACCTGATTTCTTCTTGAGTGTTTTATTAATAAGGACACCAACTCTTTTCCTTTTCAGTATTTTCTCTTTCTTGGGTTTCCAGAAGTAGTTGTCACTAACAAGAAGCTAAAGGAAAATATAGTGTCAATGTAGGCTTTTAGGATTTAGGTTTTTCCCTAAATTTGTATTATCTTTAATAGTAAGTATCTTGTAATATGGGAGGAAAGTTGTGAATATAGCCCTCCGAAAGGGTTAAAATCTATTCATTTGATGAACTTTTTTTTTTTAAAGATTTATTTATTTATACAAGAACAGGGGTACAGGCCAGATGTGCAGGAGGGTGAGAGGATTCACCAGAGACAGAGCGGGGAACAGAACAGGCAGACTGACGAAACACACTGCTGCGGGGAGCAGCAGGTACGGCAGGAGAGGTCTGCCTCACCATGTGGGATTCTTGCCGGCTAGCAGGGATTGAACCCGCACTATAGAGGCTGCGGACTGCTTCACAGTGTGGCGCTCAACTGCCTGCACCACCAGGGTGGACCTCATTTGATGAACTTTCATTGACTGTTTACTGTGTGCATGTTACTGCAATAGGCACTAAGGAGGAATAGGAGAAAATACAAACACAGCAGTGCAGAACCTTCTAGTTTTCTAGTCTATATTCCTTTACTAAGTTTTGTTATACCCCAATCAGCATAACCATTAGCAAATTATGCCAATTTTACCTTCAGACAGATACAAAATCTGATACCTAGGCCGTTACATCCTGCCTAGATTATTGTAACAACGTCCTGGGGCTTTTACAGTCTTCTTTAAAAAAGATCCAGAATGATCTTTTTAAATCAAGTTGGTAATGATACTATTCCTAAATTTCACCAGTGATTTCCCAACTGACTCAGTGGAGGTGGATTTGGCAAGGGTTCAAACTTATGTCTTTCCTACTCTGGAATCAAAATTCTTCAACCACATATTGAATGTAAATTTTTCATTCTAGTAATAGGCCTAGGAATAGGAAATATACTCTCTAATTCATCCATTTAATCATTCGTCCACTCATTTCTTTTTTTTTTTTTTTTTTTTTTAAAGATTTATTTATTTATTTATTTATGCAAGCACTGGGTACAGTCAGAAGCGCCAGAGGGTGAGAGAATTCACCAGAGCCAGAGCTGGGAGCAGAGCAGGCAGAAGGACCGAAGTACACTGCTGAGGGGAGCAGCGGGCGGCAGGAGAGGTCTGCGCGCCATGTGGGACTCCTCCGGTGGCCGGGAAGCAGCCGGGGATGGAACCGGCGCCACAGAGGCTGCGGGCAGCTTCGCAACCCAGCGCTCAACCGCTGCGCCACCGGGGAGGCCCAGTCCACTCATTTCTTAATGTCATTCAACAAGATGTTCAATGTTTACCATGAGACCTTATCAAGTGTCAGACAGTATGTACTAGGTATGCTAAATAGAAAGCCAAGAGTGAAGTGGTTATAAAGGATAAACTATCAAAGATGAATGTAAATGTCTCCTTATGTATTCAGGAGAGATTTTCTACTCAGGTCTTCAGGTATGTTTACCTCTGCCAATACGATATTTTGAGCAAATTGTGACCCTCTCCTCCTTGCCAACTCTCTCCAGAACCCCAAATCCCATGATGCAACAACACTCCACCATGCTTAAGAAACTTTTAACCTGGATGCCAGTTTAGATTAGTACCACCAATAAAATCGTGCAATTCCTTGACAAAGAAGGCAACATAAGAAGTAAACAAACTCAAGCCCTATATGCCAGCTGCCATGTTAGGCAAATAGATACTCTGGTGTGGAATTTTCAAGAAGTACTTACATAATTTTCTTAGCAATTAGAAAGTTAAACTTCAGTACCACCACCCTGTCCCACCCAATGCTTTTTGTTTTCTCACCAAACAATCCTTAAGTATTAAAGATTTACAAATGTCTCAGCATTTATTTTCTTGCAATGTAGAAATAGAATTAAATTATCTGTAGACCTGCAAAGAGAGTCTCAATTATATATTCTTCTTTTACTTGAAACCATGTTTCTTTTCTTTGAATACCTTTTTGGTTGGGTTAAAGGAGGCTAGAGTTGAAAATGTTCTTACACTTAAAAATTAGTTGTTGCCGGGAGGGTTTTTCCCAGTTTGAAAAATAATGCAGTGTGCCTCCAAAGAAACAAATGCGTCACAAGAATTGGAAGCCAAGAGGCAAAAACAAGAAACAAAAATTCAACCCTAACATCTGCTTAGGTATATGTCAATACTGGGTGGAAAAAAATTAAGCCTACATTTGTTAATGGCTGTCTAGACCCACACAACATGATATGTGCTTTGCTATCTCCAACTGGAAAGCAGAACCAGGAAGAAAACAATATTGAACTTATACCCAATGGTTCTTTAAAAATTCAGAAATTCAGTGCTGAGTACCAAAATCTGCTTTCAATGTGATTGAATTACTACAGATAATCAGGTGATGATGTACACTATTTTCCAGTTTATTTTTTATTGTATCATTTTTATTAAGGTAATGCTGGTTTACAACACTATATGAGTTAGCGGTTCATACCCTTTCAGACGTATGTCATCTCACCACACCCACCACCAAAACACCAAGAGTCTTAACATCTTAAGTCCTTAGCATGCTACAAAGTGAGGAAAAGAGGCACAGAAAGGCTCACGAATCTGGCTTACAGCTAACATCTAGGTGATGGTAGAACTGTGGCCAGAACTTAGTTTCATGACTGAAAAACATACTTTCTTTCCTCTACATCACACAGCTTTTTACACTAAGAACTGTGGGAGGGTAAGGAATGATGCTTGAAAGCTGAGTTTCTCTCTAGTTCTGAATACACCTGACGACTACTGGACAAACCATATTCCGACACCACAGAAAATACCTGCTGAACAAAGAAAGATGTGACACGTGCAAAGAGATGCAAAGTCAGGACAAGGTAATGGAAACTTCTGAATATTAAATGAGATAATACATAAAAGCACTTAACATGGCACCTTCATGGAGCTTAATAAATGCAGAGTAACTGGAACACATAGGCACACAATTAATACTTGTTGAATCAATGAATATTTATCTTTTTATTAAAGACTGCTAGAATATCCTAGCTGTGTCTGAAAATAAAGGAAACTATCTCCCAGCACAAGACCGTATCTATAAGGGAGAATGTGTCCCACTGTAAACTCAACACTCTCGCTTCCGTAGCCCAGCTTCTCAATTTTTATTATGGAAAAGGCAACGGGACTCCTGCTTGGTATTGTGGCAGGGACACTAGTGACCTTGTCTGTGAGTTGCCTATGCCTCCAAACTACAGCATAGCAACCACAAATTATTGTGACAATAACTCACTGATAGAGTAGAGAAGATGATGACAATGCACAAGAACGCGGGCAAAGAACAAAAAAGGGTAAACTCTTTAAGGGGATATTTTCACAGAAAAATAATATAGGTGTAAAATTCTCTTACTTCCTTATAAGAACTAAAGGCACTGAGTCATATTAGAAACAAGTACTAGCAATATGATCGCCATCTCTTTTTAAGTGACTAAGACACTACAGAGAGACAATTCTAGTTCCTTTACAGTGGCCCTGTCTTGCAGCATATGGGGAAGTGAACGCAGTTTCAGAATCCTGCAGCGATGAGTCTGAAAACTGGTTCCTGACCTACTAGACTTTGCACAACATAGCTACAGTAAGTGCAGGGGGCAGGATGGTCACAGAGCAGGTTTTCTATGATCTGAGCAGAACGGGTAAAGGAGAGTCCTGGCGCCCTGGGGTGGGTTTTCTCAGGCTTTTACTGAGCTTTACATGTAGTGTGACAAACAGATACACAGAAGGCAGGGGGTGAGGGTGGGGGTGGGGATTGGGGGCAGGAGGCCAGCAGGCCTCCAAGCCCCCAGCAAGTCTTCACCCTGGGCTTCTCTGGCCTTCTTTCTCCCCTTCTCTCTCCTGCCTCTCTCCTGCTTCTTCTTCTCTTGGTGACTATCTCAATATTCCTCCCCTGGCCCACAGAAGTAAACAACACAACAATGCAACAACTGCAGGTGCCCCATCAGTCAGGGCAATCCTAATGGTGGGAGGGCAGAAAAGCCTGAAAACCATTTGTCCTACAGCAAGCCTACCCTACCTGTAATTGCCCTACCTGTAAAATAGGAATAATATTAAGACCCTAGATGGTTTGTGAGCATATAAACGGGAAATGCTTTTGCAGGGCCTACCTTGTTATACAGGAATCCTCTGATTTTCCAAAGTTTGTTTTATGTCTCTTCACTTTCATGGAAGATCGACATTAGTACCTGCTGAAGAAGACTTTTGCTTTTACAACAAAAAGAGAAAGTGACGACCAGCTTGGAAGTGTTCGCTTCCCAGAAGGCCCTGCGCGGCCGTGCGCATGCGGAGTAGAGAGCGTGGCCGGTTTGCTGCTTCCGGGGTCTGTGCTTAGCCTCTCGGCCTGAAGCCCCCAGGGCCTCCAACGGTGGTAGCATCTGTGCTTTATCTCGATTTGTGTTGTGCATCCACTAGTAAGATTTGTCCCAGGGTGTCAGGAAAGTCTAAGCGAGTTCACAAGGGCGTTAGGCTTCGCGTAAAGTCGGATGTGATAGAAAAGGAAGGCTGTGACCAACTGCCCGCTTGGGTGAGATTTCCCCTAGGGTCAGCAGCGCCGCATTGACAGCAGAAAGAGCAGGTAAGTTTTGGGCAGGTGTGCAGGATACTTTGAGATCCTACATAGAATTGTAGGGTAGGAAATGCGTGAGGGTAAGCTGTCGAGTGCACTGTCGTATTTCAAGCCCTTTAGACAGGGAACCTCCATCTTTGACACGGAGGCCGGGGCGGGGGGGGTCCTATGTGGTGCAGACATTAGTGACCCGCCTGCCCTGGTGGAGTCAGACCCCATAGGATGTTAGCAAATGACTTCTCCCTCTCTCTCTCTCCAACACCCCAGCCTCCCACCCATCACCACGTCATCACTATCGCCTCTCAACTTTCCTGTGTGCTCTGCTGTCTTCCCAATTCTGGTAAGTGAAGCTACGCCCTACAGTCAGTCCTCTCAATATTGTTAACAGGTGTTTGGAAACTGTGACATTATGCAAAATGACCTGTAATGAAAACAGTTTTACCATAGGCTAAATGATAGAAAGAAGCGTTAAGTTCCTAAGGCATACTTGTGGTCACAAAAACATCCCCAAGCTTCTAAAATCAAGACCCAAAGCACTTCTAGTATTATATAGTAAATTTGCATTCATTCATTCATTCATTCATTCATGCATTCATTTTCCAGCCCACTTACTCCAATTCAGGGTCACAGGTGGCACAGGCTTGTCTTGGCAGCCCCGGGTGCAAGATGGGGCGACTCTGGACAAGATGCTCTTCTGTTGCAAGGTATTGACTTACTCTCTGGCTCTTACACACACACACACACACACACACACACACACACGCACACGCACCCCCCCCCCCTTTAAGATATGTCAGTGAACTTCAGGTGCATGCACATTTTTGGAATTGGGAGGAAACCAGATACCCACAGAAAACACAGACAGACATGGGAGAAAATGCATACTGCACACAGGGTGGCCCCAAATGGGATTGATATTTTTTCCCTTGTCAGTGTCATAACAGAATGACCTTGAACAAGAGAGTATATGAGGACCTAACATACATATTTCTATTTTATGCAGGTCGTGTATTTATCACATTACTTCTCCGTGCTGTAGTTTAGTGTGACTTTAAGTTTTGTGTGTTGTTTGGTAGGTTATTCTTTGGGACTGGGAACACTCAAACATTTTCCATATAAATTAATAGTAATTGCTTTTTCATTTTACACCATTTTATAGATAGTTTATGAAAAGTTTTTTAAGAACACACTACTGTTAGATGGTGGGGGAAATCTGTATTTGGTTTAGAATGGCTGCTTCAGCATCATAACATCTTAAACCAGATACACATACACCCCCCAACAAAATCCTACTGCAGCTTGACTTCCACAGATGGAGACGTGCTCTCTTTAGGACAAACCTACCCAATCCTTTCTCTTTTCTTTATATTTTCATAGCCAACAATTTGATATCTGTGGTTGCCCGGTGGGCAGGACCTAGATACATAGTGGGAATTAACTAAACTCTAGTTACCCCACAGCAATGCATTGCCAGAAAATACTTAGCATTAACAAGCAAGGTAGATCATTAACTAAAAGATATTGGCAAGTTGGCATGCTGGTAGATAGCTAGCTATGATGCGATGCTCACTTGAGTGAAACAGTAGTAGAGAATGGTTAATAGTGATAAATGAGAGTTTTGATGTTTGATCCAAAGTCTGCTAGACCAACCACATTATTTGTAGCAAACAGAGCTAAGAGGCAAAAATAAGTAAATGGCCCCCTCTTCGTTTCTGCCTCATTGTCTTAACCCCTCACAACCTTCTGCTTTCCATTTCTGTAATTCTGTTATTCCAAAATATTGTGTAAATGGAAAGAGACAGTATGTAAGCTATAGGGTTTATTTTTTCCCACTCAGCACAATTCTCTGGATTTTCATCCTGGCTGGTGTACACATTTGTTAATGAGTAGTATTCCATAGTATAGATGTATCACTGTTTAGCCATTCACTGGTGGAAAACCATCTGCGTTGTTTCCACTTTGGAGCTATTATTATGAGTGAAGTTGCTATAAATATACTTGCATAGATGTTTATGGAAACACAGGTCTTTATTTCTCAGCATAAATGTACAGGTATGAAATTGCTGAGTTACTGGTTAAGTTTTTTTTAAGAAACCACCCAATGATTTCCCAGTGTGGCTGAACAATTTTACATCCCCATCAGCAACCTATGAGTCATCAAGTTTCTCTCTATTCTCCCAGCCTTTGGCATTGTCATTCTATTTTATTTTAACCATTCTGGTAGGTGTATAGTGATATCTCATGGTGGTTTTAATTTGCATTTCCCTCGTGGCTAATAATGTTGAACATCTTTTCATGTGCTTATTTGCCATCTGTGTATCTTCTTTGGTGAAATTTCTCTTTGTGTCTTTTCCCTATGTTCTAATTGGATTGTTTGCTTTATTTACTGTTGAGTTTTGAGGGCGTTTATTTATATATTCAAGGTACCAGATACATGGTTTGCAAAGGTAGTTTACTGAACTGTAGCTTGTATTTTCCTTCTCTTAATGGTATCTTTTGCTGAGCAAAAGTTTTTAATTTTGCTGAGGTTAAGTTTATAGTTTTTTTTCCCCTTTTGATCATGCTTTTGGTGTCAGGTCAAAGAACTCTGCCTAGTCCCTAATCCTAAAAATTTTCTTCTTTTGATAGTTTTACATTTAAGCCCATCTTAAGCTTTGAGTCAATATTTTATGAGGTGTGAAGTTTAGATAAAGTTTCTTTTTTTTTTTTTTTTTAAACCTACGGATCTCCCATTGCTTTAGCACCAGTTGCTGAAAAGGCTAACCTGCCTCTACTAACTTTCCTGGTGCCTTTGCAAAAACTCAGTTTGGCATATCTCTGTGTTCTGTTCTGTTTGTGGGTAATCTGTTCTGTTCCATTGATCTCTGGGTCTATCCCTCTGCCATTACGATGCAGTCTTGTTTACTCATTCACCTTTAATATTAGACAGAATGATTTCTCCCCACTGTATTTCTCTATCAAGATTTAAGGCTATTCTACAGTGTGAGTTTTTCTATATAAATTTTAGAGTAAGTTTGTTTAGGCTTACAAGAAATCTTGTTGGTATTTTAATAGGAGTTATGTTAAATTTGTGTCTGTTTGGGGAGAATGGACATCATAGTATGTTGAGTCTCCCAATCCATAGATAGGGTATACTCTCCATTTGTGTAGGTTTTTTAAAATTTGTGTAGGTTTTTTAAAAGTTTAAAATTAAGAATTTTGTAATTTCCAACATACATATCTAATACATATTTTGTTAAGTTCTTATTTAAGTATTTCATTTCATTAGAAGAGGTTATAAATAGTATATTGTGTTTTTAATTTTGCTTTCCACATGTTTGTTGTTAGTATGTAAAAATGGCATTGATTTTTGTGTTTATCTTACAAAGCAATCTTTTAAGATGCAATTTTATTTAACAATTATTGGTTAGTATCCTATTCTGTGTAAAGCACATCACAGCATGGGGACTGTTACTACCTACGTTTTGATTGTGTTCATATACTTCGTCTACCTCTAGCAGAGGTAGCAATGATGGGAAGTTTTGTAAAGGGACCGGCAGACATTGTGCAAAATGATTCTGAAGAGTACATCAGGATGGAAATCTATTGGGCCCCGGACTTGGGATACCTGGATTCTATTTGCCCTTCAAATTTTTTCTGTGACACAGGTAAGCCTGCAGATGACTTCCTCATGCCAAATGATTCATCTCATTTAAATCCTTTTTCCATTAGAGTCCAATGAGATCTTTTTGAGACATAGCAGTACTACACCACTATAAAGTTAGAAAATGTTTTCTCCTGCAGTGATTTAAATAATTTAGAGCATTTCCCAGTTGGAAAATGTGTTTAAGTTTTAGCATTAAGGTGAGATGTGTTTGATCAAGGTAGTCTGTCTACAGCAGTCATGTTTCTGGGGAACAGGAGTTAATTACATCACACCATGTATGAGTAAGTGCCCCTTCCATCCAGGCCAACTGGGCATTATTACAAGTGAGTAATTGCACTGCCTTTCATCACTTGCCTAAATCATTAGAACACAAGATTATTAAACCAAGACCCTACCAATTTAGCTGCTCAAGGATGGAGTCTATTAGACCATCTGCTACCTTATCAACACCAGGCACAGCAAGTCCGGGCAACTTTATACCCAACGTGTAACATCTTTCTGCTTCCAACTGATCCATATACTATTTTTTAAGTGATTGTTATTTAATTGCTAGAGCTAACAAGCAATCCAACAACTGCTTCAGGGCTGTTTAGTAAAATTTGCCAAAAGTGGACGCTTGGTTGAGAAAGAGCCATGCACAGGGTAAGGTTATTTCAAATCATATTGTACAGGATACATTCTGGAAAGACTATTTCAGGAAGGCACCGATGTTAAAGACAGAGAATTGTGACCTCATCCACCTCTTTGCTAAAGTCCTCTCACTCTGTGGAGGCTCAGTTATTTTAAAAAGGTGACTAGCAAAAAAGAAATGTAGAATATAGAAAATATTTGTATTTGTTTATACTTTTTTGTCTCTGAATCCTTTCTCTCTCTTACATCTGATATCTTTGTGAAGACAGAAATCATTTCTGTATTGCTCACTCTCAGATCCAGTACCTGGTAGGTGTTCAGCAGATATTTCATAAATAATCAGATGTTTAGCTTAAATGAATATATAGTTACAGTTAGGGAGGCTGTGTACACATTTAGGAACAGTTAGGGAGGCTGTGTACACAGAACTGTATAAAAGGGAGAAGAAAGGCTTGTAGGAAACTCCAACCAGTTTAGTCACTTCCATCTCAAACTTCTGAGAAATAGAAAGACTGGAGAAATGATTTGGAAGTCTTAGAGTGCTGACTCACTGGGGAAGCACTGTAACAGAAACAACAATGCCTGGGGTGAAAATGGGCGGAGGATTTGTCATCCTCTCCCAAATCCTACTCTCCTGTTCTTCAGTGATGCAGCTCTTCCATGAACCCAAACCTCGGGAGTAATGAGGCCCTTAACCACGCCTTTCACCCAAGTGTGTGACAACTTTATAAACTCTTCAAAAGCAAGGCCATGGTTGTATTTGTGTGTCTTGAATGTACCAGGCTAAGTATGCAGCACACATTGACCACTGTAGAATGACTAATAGAAGGACCCTTTTCTTATCATCTCAGCCAGTTGAGGGGTGAAGAGCCTGTGTTTCTAGATCATTTTTCAAATGATTTCTGAGAGTTCAAAGAGATAAATCACTAGACTTTTCAAAGATTCCCCCTTAGCTCCTCTCCAAAGAATTAACGGCTAGCAGAGTCACTTCTATAAATGGATTCTCTGCTCCCTACCCCTGAACATTACCTTACTCAGATTTGCTCGGAATGTAATTGGTTTGA